TGCCGGCGGCCGCTGATCGGACTCAAAATCCTAAAGGAGATTCGCGATGATACGCGCTCTGTGCTCGAGCTGTTAGCCGAGCGCATGAAAGTGTACTATGACAAGCACGTGCAGGAGGCACCGGTCTTTGCGCCAGGGGACAAGGTCTGGCTTGATGCCCGGAACCTTAAGCTGAAACAGCCAAGCAAGAAGCTCAGTCCCAAGCGCCTTGGACCATATGCCGTGCGGCGAAAGCTCGGAGACTTGGATTATGAATTAATCCTGCCGAAGTCGGTGCTGGTGCACCCGGTATTCCATGTCTCCTTGCTTAGCAAGTACACGCGTAGTGAGATCCTGGGCCGGGAGCCGGAGGAGCTGCCCGCAATCGAGGTTGAGGGCGACGAGGAGTACGAGGTTGAGCGGATCAAGGACTCGAGGATCTTCCGGCGACAGCTGCAGTACCTCGTCAAGTGGAAGGGTTATGACGACTCGCATACGTCATGGGAACCGGCACACAATGTTGCCAATGCACCGGCCCTTATAGCTGACTTCCACCGGAAGAATCTGAACGCCCCTCGCCGCCTCAACGCTGCTACCTTTGGTGGTCTCAACTTCCAGCCAATGCCTTTGCCGCTGACTGAAGCATGCTGCCGCTCCGGATGGGAGATGGGCAAGGGCACCTCGCATGAGGTCATATGCCGTTGAGGGGGGTAATGTCACGAGTTGGTTCGGCGTCTAGCCGTTTTTTAATTCTTTCCTTTTTGTGGGCTCGAACCCACGACCTCTGTACTACTTGCCTGATATGGATGCATCGTTATCTACTGTACGATTAGATTAGATGGGACAGCAGTGCACGGCACAGCCCGGGCTCCGCTGACACAGCCGCTCTGACTCACCGGCCCCTGGGGCCGCATCAGCAGGCTGCGCACGGACCAGCTGTGCACGGACCAGCGCGCACAGCCTGCCCTTATCTCCCCATGTATATAAGCCGGCCTCTGCTACCCTAGGGACCTCAGTTTCGACCTCTTGTCCCCAGGTCAGTAAGCTCATGTATTACTTACCTACTTACCAATGCTAACTTATCTTGTCCCTAGCCTTAGGTTTGAGCGCTGCTCACCATCGCTTCGGTGAGATTTAGTCGGATGCCCCCAGCTTTCAGATCTTCCCCTGTCGCTTGACCTCAAGTCGCGACAGCCATTTTCTTTTCCATAGTGAACGTTGACGAACGATAAGACACAGACAAATACTCATATTTTCCCGCTTCTATCTGCTTCTTCAGCATCACTCTCACCTTTCCCTCTATAGCTTTTGGTACTGGAATTGGTGCTCGTACCCACGGAACATGTTTTATCACTAGCATTTCATAGTCAGGGAAATATTCGCAAAAGAACATACCTCTCTCTGCATCTGTCCATGCAATTGCCTCCTGACAAATGTCAACAATGTACACCATCAAATTCAATTCTTCAGCTGTGAGGAACCCATCTGGTACTGTGTTCATGATCTTATCCAATCGCTCCTGCATTAACCATTCAGTAGGCCTGAAAGAGGAACATGGGGGTGGATGGACTAGTAGTGGCAGTCAATTTGACATGTCTATTGGTCTGAATTTCTGTGCAGATGGGTTAGGCATGTATGTAGGAACCGGCTTCACCTTCTGATCAACTGATTTATACCACTTACCTGCCACAACCATCACATTTTGTTTGGAATATACCTGCTTGATCCATGGACTAGGGATTGGAACCAAACCCGGAGACAAAAGCACTAAAGCAGAACAAAGCATAGAGTCATAAATCTCAGGGGGATCATACTGTACCAATCTTCCAATCTCGTTTAACGAAACATTTGTTACCTCACCCGCCATTGCATATAAGGTTTGTTCAAGCTGAGGAATGTTCCTGGATGTGTTCCCTTCTGTAAAGGGTGGCTTGGCGTGTGTGTCCAGCTCTAGAAATCCTCGTCAGACACCTTTTCAACCACTGATGCTACCCGCTGCTTTGCAGGATCTTCCATTGTCAGAATTTGACTGCACAACACCTGCATGAAAAGATCGGCACAACCAGGGTTTGAACCCGGGACCTACCAGAGATGCACTGGGCGCTCTACCACTGAGCTATTGGACCTTGGTTACTATGGAATCATGAAGTCTCATATACGTTACTTCAAGGGTATGAACATGATCTATATTATAGATTCAGAGGTTCTTAACTGTCTCATATGTGTCAAAGCACACATTTGACATCCATAACTGGCTTGTCTGAGTTTCTTTGATGCAATATACCCAGGATCTTCAGCTTGATGGGCTTGTCTGATCGATTTCCTGTAGGGTATATCAAAAGATCAACTGGTCCTCTGCAGCTGTAATCCACTTGTGTTGAGTGCCATTGCATGTCAAATGTGTGCTCTGACACATATGAGACGATTAAGAACCTCTGAATCTATAATATAGATCATGTTCATACCCTTGAAGTAACGTATATGAGACTTCATGATTCCATAGTAACCAAGGTCCAATAGCTCAGTGGTAGAGTGCCCAGTGCATCTCTGGTAGGTCCTAACAAAAGGCGACGCAGGGAGCAGTTGCATAGGACTAGCACTGAAGGACTGAATGCCACAGTAGGGGCTGAAGTCGAAGTGGGTCACAGAAGTGTGTATTAAAGGACACTACAGCAGGTCTTTATATATATGAGCAGGGGAAAGCATTCCCACGGCAGAACAATAGAGAAAAGAACAAAGCAGTCCAAAAGGAGAACAAGGGCCACTTGGCCACAGGAACAATGGAACAAAAGAAGTGTGGCCAGAGCTCTGCTCCGGTCCGATTGCTCCGCAACTGATACAACCATGTGGTCACATGGTGTGGTGGCTCCCGCCACCGGGGGATTGTCCTAGGCCGACCAGGGGACTGTGGCAGAGCACATTGTGACAATGAGGTCATGCGCCGTTGAGGGGGGGATAATGTCACGAGTTGGTACGGCGCCTAACCGTTTTTTAATTTTTTCCTTTTCGCGGGCTCGAACCCGCTACCTCTGTACTACTTGCCTGATATGGACACGTCGTTATCTACTGTACAATCAGATTAGATAGGACGGCAGTGCACGGCACAGCTCGGGCCCTGCTGATGCAACCGCTCTGACTCACCGGCCCCCAGGGCTGCGTCGGCATGCTGCGCACGGACCAGCTGTGCATGGACCAGCACGCACAGCCTGCCCTTATCTCCCCATGTATATAAGCCGGCCTCTGCTGCCCTAGGGACCTCAGTTTCGACCTCTTGTCCCTAGGTCAGTAAGCATCCTTTGTATCACTTTCTTACTCATACTAACTAATACATTTTCTTGTCCCTAGCCTTAGGTTTGAGCCTCACTCACCATCGCTTCGGTGAGAACCAGTCGGACGCCCCTCGCTTCTAGGTATTCCCCTGTTGCTTGACCTCAAGTCGCGACACATGCTGTGCACGGACCAGCTGTGCACGGACTAGTGTGCACAGCCTGCCCTTATCTTCCCCTGTATATAAGCCAGCCTCTGCTGCCCTAGAAACCTCAGTTTTGACCTCTTGTCCCTAGGTCAGTAAGCCTTCAGTTGTATTCCTTTTCCTTACCTAACTAATATATTATCTTGTCCCTAGCCTTAGGTTTGAGCGCTGCTCACCATCGCTTCGGTGAGACCCAGTCAAATGCCCCCAGCTTTCTTAGGTCTCCCCCTGTCGCTTGACCTCAAGTTGCAACATTAGGTCGAAACTCTCATAGCTGCCGGCATTCTTTCAGAACCCAAACACTCATTCTCCTTTTCTACAGGTCAGAGGGTGCGCACCCCTACTATACACTACAATACGTAGATAGTGTACATACATCACCACCGCTCAGGGAACAAACCTTTCAGCATCTGCACTTTAGCGGGTGGTGCTTGTCCTTACGAACGCGTGAACTAGGTTCCTGCTGCATACTAGCCAAAAGCAGTACTGGGTCCCACGTGAACTGCGAACCTCAGGGTCTTCTTGGGCGCTGTAGGTGTAAGCTAGCTAGCACGGCCTTTGTAGTATATGCACCTTCCCGTCCTCCCCCCATCCATCGTGGCTGCCTGTCAAGGCCAAGTTTATGCTTTCAACGCTCAGGACCTCGTCAACGTTTACATCCCAGATGGCCCTGAGACCATCATCCTCACCTGTGAGCAGCAGCTGTGCCCCAATCAAACACCCTGGTCGATAGAACAAGATTACCCATGCTACAAGGCAATCAGAAGGGCTCAACACCTGCTCGGTCCTTGAAGCAATCTTGCATCTCGATCTGCCTTGCGGCACTCTTGCCCTGTCTCCCCTAGCTCCCGCCTTCCCCAAACTGTTGCCGGTTCAAGTCAAGTGTGAGGAAATCTCCCTCCAGACCCTGCACCAGAGCCTGAGCCTGAGGAGAGTGTGAGTGAAGAAGGAGTCTTGGAGCCCGAGTCTGCGGATTCTGCTCGGCCCGCCTCGCCGACAGCGCTTGCCCCTGTATCAGCAGTCCCTGACATATGTGACCCCTCCTCCGGGCTTCCTCCAGTGCCTTCACTGCCATCGCTGCTGTGAGGCCACTCACGCACTCGTTCCCCTTGAAGTCTGACCAGCAGAGGGCCACCACAGCCGCCTCTGCCCCCGTGGCATCCTCCGTCCCCCCAGCTACCAATAATGTCCTCTCCTTTGACCACCCCTGACAAGGAGACCCTTAAGCTCCTCCTTCCACTCCAATATGATGGCAAGACTGTCATTGAATGCAACAGGTTCCTGTCACAACTCTGCATCTATTGGTTGGTCAATGTGTCATTGACAACCATTGAGCTCAAGGTACAGGTTGCGTTGAGCCTGCTCGACAGTGATGCCCACGCCTGGGCCACTCCCTACTTTTCCCAGCTCACATCAGTGCAGATGGGTGTACAAGAGGTCACAACCCCCTTCAAGAACGAAGCAGTCTTCACTGCTGCCTTCAAGGCCTACTTTGGCAATCTCGACGATAAAGCAGCGGCACAAGTAGAGTTGACAAAACTCTGCATGAACAAATTGATCTGCAAAAAACGCACCACAGCAGAGTTCTCTGCGCTGTTCAAGGGTCCGGCGGATCGCTCCAGATATGGAGACCTGGAGCTACGTGACAAGTACCTGAGCGGCATACCCTTCTGTGTCTACCAAAAGATTGAGCTTGAAACCTTCACCATGTGGCAAGAAGCTGAGAAACGCACCACCGAGGTCGAGCAGATCCTCGACATCAGCCGGGCCCGGCAACCCGAGCTGAACAACTTCTTTTCGGCCAGAGGTCAAGGACGCGGTGGGGCACGTGGTGGTGCACCCCAGTCACACACAGCTTCGGCCAGCATCAATGTGGCCATCAGAAAAGGAGACTTTCCTGGTAGTTGCTACGGCTGCGGGAAGCAAGGGTACTGACGTTTTGAGTGCCCCAACTGTAAGGACAAGCCTTATACAAAACGCGCCGATGCATGGGCTATGGTTGCCTCGGGTTCCACCCAGGTAGCGACAAGCGTCCCCGTCACTTCATCCTCGGTGAGTACAATTACTGCTTCAGCAAAATCGGCTTGTTAGGGCGCAGATTCTTGCATTGCTGCATGGTGTCTTCAACGCGGTTAATAACCACTTGAAGCGACTCAGAATCGCTCTTCCTGATAGACTATCAGAAGGCGACGCAGGGAGCAGTTGCACAGGACTAGCACTGAAGGACTGAATGCCACAGTAGGGGCTGAAGTCGAAGTGGGTCACAGAAGTGTAGATTAAAGGATGCTACAGCAGGTCTTTATATACATGAGCAGGGGAAAGCATTCCCACGGCAGAACAATAGAAGAAAGAACAATAGAGTCCAAAAGGAGAACAAGGGCCACTTGACCACAGAAACAATGGAACAAAAGAAGTGTGGCCGGAGCTCTGCTCCAGTCCAAATGCTCCGCAATTGATACAACCATGTGGTCACATGGTGTTGTGGCTCCCGCCACCGGGGGATCGTCCTGGGCCGACCAGGGGACTGTGGCAGAGCACATTGTGACAACATTGCGCGCCGGTTCCCATGACGTATGCGAGTCGTCATAACCCTTCCACTTGACGAGGTACTGCAGCTGTCGCCGGAAGATCCTCGAGTCCTTGATCCGCTCAACCTCGTACTCCTCGTCGCCCTCAACCTCGATTGCGGGCAGCTCCTCCGGCTCCCGGCCCAGGATCTCACTACGCGTGTACTTGCTAAGCAAGGAGACATGGAATACCGGGTGCACCAGCACCGACTTCGGCAGGATTAATTCATAATCCAAGTCTCCGAGCTTTCGCCGCACGGCATATGGTCCAAGGCGCTTGGGACTGAGCTTCTTGCTTGGCTGTTTCAGCTTAAGGTTCCGGGCATCAAGCCAGACCTTGTCCCCTGGCGCAAAGACCGGTGCCTCCTGCACGTGCTTGTCATAGTACACTTTCATGCGCTCGGCGTAACAGCT